CTCCCAACTCCCTACTCACTACTCAGTACTCACTACCCAGTTTTCAAGAATCACTACTCACTACACACTACTCACTGCCCACTACTCACTACTCACTAAACACTACTCACTACCCACTAACCACTATCCACTACTCACTACGGAATACTCACAATTCACTACTCACAACTCCCTGCCCACAAATCACTACTCACTATTCGCTGCTCGCTACTCGCTACTCCCTACACAGTACTCGCTGCTCACTACTCACTGCTCACTACTCGCTACTCCCTATTCGCTATTTGCCACCCAATACGCGATATTCACTACCCACTACGCACTACTCACTACGCACTACTCACTACTCCCTACTCCCAACTCACTAGTCACTAGTCACAAGTCGCTACTCACTACTCACTATTCAGTACGCACTACTCACTACTCACTACTCGCTACTCCCTACGCAATGCTCACTCCCCACTACTCAATACCCACTTCTCACTTCTCACTACTCACTACTCACTACTTACTACTCCCCACTAACCACTCACTACTCACTACTAACTAATGATTACTCGCTACTCCCTACTCGCTACCTCACTACTGACTACTCCCTCCTCAGTACTCAGTACTCGCAATGCCCGCTCCGCGACTCACTATTCACTACACGCTACTCCCAACTCGCTACTCACTACTCACTACCCACTCCCCACTACCCACTATTCACTACTCACTACTCACTAGTCACTATTGACTGCGCACTACTCACTACTCACTACTGACTGCGCACTACTCACTACTCACTCCTCACTCCACACTACTCGCTACTATCTACCAACTACTCACTATTCACTACTCACTACCCCCGAGGCCAGACCCCCCCCCTTGCGGGAGAGGCCCTCTGCCCGGCCCCCTGTTCGGCGCAAAGGGGGGAAGGGGGAGGGGGTCGATCCCCCCCCCATTTCCAGCGCCAGGGGGGGGGGTCCGGACCCCCCCCCCCCTTCAAACGGGGGGGGAGGGGTTCGGAACACCCCCCCGTTTAAGGGAGGGAGGGGGGGGGGTCGAAAATCTCACCCCCCTCTCAAACGGGGCAGGGTGATCCAGTGGCGCGGTTTCCACATGCTGCTGCTGCTGCTGCTGCTGCTGCTGCTGCTGCTGCTGCTGCTGCTGCTGCTGCTGCTGCTGCTGCTGTGCTGTGCCGCGGAACCGCCCCCAACCGCAGGAATGCTCCCCGTCTGGGGCCGCGCCGCTCCTCTACCGCAGGCGCAGCCCTGGCCTGTGCCATCCACGCCGCGCCCGCGCGCTCCGCGCGCGGACGAGCGGCCAGCGACACAGCAGGGCCGCCCCGCCCTCCGCCGAGCGCGCGGCCCTCGCCGCGGGGCGCGCGTCACCGGGGCCTGTCCCACGTCACGGTCCCCGCCGGGTCCGAGTCCTGCCAGTAGTAGCGGCGGCCACTCGACGGGTCGACGGTCTCCCTCCAGGGGGCCGGCAGGGCGCCCGAGGCCTCGGCGGCGAGCGCGCCATGCGCCGCATACGCCCGCGGGCTCTCTCGGAGCTGCTCGAGCAGCGCGGCCGTCTCGCCGTTGGCCGGCACGCCCCGCTGCTCCATCTCCGCGGCCAGCCCCTGCGCGCGGTCCGTGGCCCCCTCGCGGATGGCCACCTGAGCGACGAGAAGAAGCGAGTCTCACACAAGAGGGCACAGACCCCTGCGCGATGGCTCACGCGGGCCGCCAGCGCGACACTCTACGTCGGAGGCGGGGGCGCCTGCGCGCCCTCTTACGCAGGCAGCGTACGCGCGAGTGCCGGCGCAGCCGAGCCCGTGTTTTGCGCCGCTCGCCTGCAGCACCGCGTTGTAGGTGACGACCGTGGGGTGCACCGTGGCGGCCAGCATCTCCGCCAGCACGGCGTCCGCCTTCCGCAGGGCATCCGCGCCCGCGAAGCAAGAGATCAGGCTCGTGTAGGCGACGGCATCCGGCTCGAAGCCGCGCCTCCGCAGCTCCGCGAAGGCCTGGCGCGCCGCCGCCTCGTCCTTGCTCAGGGCGCACGCGACCAGCACGCACGTGAGGTGCGTGATGTCTGGCCGCAGGAGGCGGTCCTCCATCTCCCGGAGCAGCGACACGGTGTGGTCCCTCTCCCCGGCCTTGATGAAAGAGCAACACACGCACTCAAGCCTACGGCAGGTTCGTGTCGTGACGACTTCGGCGCTGGTCTCTGACACCGCATGATCGCTCAGCCTTTAACGATCGGCGGTTTCTCGATCACTCGGCCGTCCCATAGTGGAAGATTCTGGAACACTGGCGGCATTCAACCTTGAACGCCCGCGGCGGGGTCGCCGCCGCGTCGACGCGACACGAACATACTGTATAGGGAGGAGGAATGGGGAAGACCAAGGAGTTGAGGGCGCCACAGGCGCGGGTGCGGAGTGTCGAACGCCGAGGGGTGCTCCCGCTCGAGAGGGGACCACCATCCGACAATACACACCCACGGCCGCCCCGCGGCATTCCAACCCAAGAAATCTGGGGCTCGCATAGGTCTGGATGCTACTAGTTTTCAGCTCGTGAGGCCTTGGAGCACGCCGACATGGCTGCGCCGTAGGCGATCTTGTCGGGGACCACGGCCGCGTCCGGCATTGCCCGGAGCACCTCCAGAGCAGCGGGAACGTCGTGCACCGCCCCGTGGGCCACGATGAGATTGGTGAAGGTCACCACGTCCTCAGGGGAACGAGAGATACCTGTCGACACTGCTGCTCCCTGGATTCGGGACCTCTCCGGGGGCGCGCTCTGACCAGCCGTGGCGAACCCAGCGGTGACCGTGGCGACGAGGGCCCCCTGGGAACGACGGAAACGATGGAACAGGGCACCAGCACGAGCACGGTACCCGGTACTCCTAGAAGAACAACCAAAACACATACACCATACAGGGCAGTTGTTTATACATCGGATGTTAAAAAGTTATGTGAACTCATCGTTGTTCTTAATACTAAATCCCTGCATTTGTAAAACATGATCCGCACGCGGAGCATGTATTGAAAACGGCACTGCAAGCACAATCTCTCAGAGGTCCACGCAGTTCTCTTCGAGAAGCGCCGGAGGCGCCGCCAAGGGGGGCCCAGTGGTGACCCAAAAAGTCCGCGCAGAGCTTCAAAAATTTGGGATACGCCTTTGAGCTTCAAAAAAATGTGGGATGTCATTCCTCCTCCCCTGCCGTCCGGCTGCAGGCGCGCCTCCTCCCGCAGCTCGCGCACGAGGTCGACCGCGCCGGCCACCTGCTTCAGGCGCGCCTGGAGGCCGACCATGCTGTTGTACGCGGGCAGCGTCCGCTGGGTCAGGCGTTGCCAGAAGTGTCCCTGGCCCAGGGTGCCCCCGGGGCTTGGGTCTCCAAGGAGGCCCCCGGTGGCCTCGAGGCACCCCTCACGAGGACCAGAAGGCCCCCGGGGCTCCACGCTTGAACGGAAAGCTGGGGGCATTGTTTTGCTGCTGCTGTGGTCGGTCGTCTCCGCTGCTTCTCGCCTCTTCCTCCGCCCGGCTCAGTGCGGGTGGAACGCAGTGGGGACTGAGGCAACGCGCGTTCGGCGCTTCCCGCTCCTTCTCGCCCTCCTCGCTCCCCCCCGTTGCTGTGCTCTGCTGCTCTCTCCTTGGGCCAGGGGCACCTGCAGCGACCCCCGGCTGGGGCATCTGGCGGAAGAGCTCCCACGCCGCCCTCTGCTGCAGAGACCTGCAGCACGCGTCCAGGGCGGCGGTGTACAGCGCCGGGTTCGGCGCGGGCTCCCGGCCGAAGACGACGAGCGCCTCTCGGCTGGACGCGAGAATTCGAGCGGGGGGTCGACCACAGGATTGATGTACACCAGAGCTCCTTTCTTCGATCCCGTGAAAATGCCTGGTGAATTCGTAGATATACTAAGATGGGGCTCGACGAACAAATAAATTTGGGGATACATCAATTATATACTCGACCACTTACTCGAAGAATGGCCTTCGGTGCGCGGCTTCAGGAGGCCGCGGGGGGGGGGGGGGGCGCAAATCCTCGCGCGCAAGCTAGTCCCACGGGGAGCCCTGTGAGCCCGCACCAAGCCCTCAGATCCGACGTAGCGGAAAAACGGCAGCATTGTCAAAAATCACGCCTGGAGCCGTGGACCCCATCGTTCTGTTCAGCTTGTCGAGCCGACCCGGATCGATCTATGAGGGTCCTGGGGCCCGAAACTTGGCAGAAGCCGGGCTCGACAAAGTTGCGACGCCCGGATCCCAAGGAAGGTCACTCCGGCGAAGGGTCACTCTTCTTGCGCGAGGCGCAGCCGAGCCTCCTCCCAGCGCCGCCTGCGGCCCAGCCGGTGCACCTGCGCGGTGGCCAGCCTCTGGTCCGTGTGCCCCGGCTGGGCGCTGGGGTCGAAGCGCCCCTGCGAGCCCGTGGCCCTCCTTCGGGGATGGACAGACCTCCCTTTAGTAAAAACGTGGTTTGGTGAAAACGGCCTCGGGCGCAAACCTGGCGGGCGCAAGCCTGGAAAATGACGGCCGCGGCGCCCTCTCGAGAACCGACAACGGACAATTCACTAATCGACGTGTCAGGGTAGGAGGTCTGTCCAACCCCGACTCCTGTGCTCGTAGGGGTCCAGGCTCCGGTCGCGGTGCGCGTGCCGGTCGCGGTCGGCGCGCTTCTCCGCCCACCTGAGCAGGGGCGCAGGCTGGCGGCCGTCCGCGGGGGGTCTCTGCGGCCGGCTCTCCGGACCGCCTCCCCGGACCAGGGGAAGGCTCGGCCAGGCGTGCCTGGGCCAGGCAGGCGTCGGCCAGCTGAGGTCGGCCAGGCTGAGCTCTGCCCTGGCTAAGATTCCGCAGCTTGGCCGAAGTCAGCACGGCCGAGATCAGCAGGCCGAGCTCAGCCTGGCAGAGTTTCGTCCGGCCGAGTTCGGCCTGGCCGAGTTGTTCCTGGCCGAGCTTGGTTGCTGGCCCCCGCACCCCTCCCCGCTGGCGCTGCTTAATGGGGGGCTATGTATGAGAGGCGAAGACTCGCACACCTGTCGAGCCCACGCCCCAGAGGGCCCCGTTGGGGCCCTAAGGTGCACGAAAGGTGCATCTTTCTTCGTCCCCTATTCCCGAATATCTCCTTGCTCCTCCTCCTCCTCTTTATCCTTCCCCTCCCTCCTCCTCCCTCATCCGCCTCTTCCACCCTTCCTCTTCCCCCCCACTCCTCCTCCTCCCCCGCCTCCTACCCCCCCCGCTCGTTTTCATCTTCGTCGTCTTCAGGGTCGGCAGCACTGGCCGTAAGGTCTTCTCGATCTCCCTTGAAGTGCTGAAGGGTTTGAAATGAGAAGCCGGCCAGCAAGGGTAGCCCCAGAGCTCATTCCAGCGACCAGAAATCAACGTCGCAGCCCTGGCAGGTTGCCGGAACTTGTGGCGTGTTCCGGAAGCGCTTTCCTTCTTGTTCCCCAATGCGTGCGCCGTGAGGGCTCCGAGAAGGTCCCTCCCAGAGCTTCGAGAGACCTGTCGAAGGACCTTCGCAAAGGTTCTGCGGCGCTCCGCTATCCGTGCTTTGGACTTACAAGTTCTAACGCCCCCCCATGACGCAACGCCCGATCTCTGGCGCGCTCTGCGTGTGCCTGGGGGCGGAGTGGCGGCGGAGCTCCGCGGGGTGGGGGGGGGCCCCACGCTGACGGAGGGGCCGTGAGGAGCGCCCGACAGCCGTACGCCCGGTGTTGCTGTCTGGCCCTCTGGGCTCCTTCGCCCACCTGCCCTCACCTTCCGTCGGCGACTCTGGAGGTTGCGGTTTGCAGCTGGGCGCGAATAATGGGGGGCGATGAATGAAGGGGCCCTCTGGGGGCGCCCGAAAGTCCCCCCCATTTGGGGGGCCCTACAGGCCCTGCTTGGGTGCCTTAAAGGGCCCCTTCAGGGGCCCTAGAGGGCCCCTTTGCTACAGCCCCCCGCGGCCTCCAACGCAGAGGGTGTGGTTTGCAACCGGCACACTGTGGGGCAGGCGAAGACGCCGTCGAGAGGCGGCCCGACGAGGACAGAGGTGCTCAGAGGCGGCCCGACGAGGACAGCGTCGTGCTCCCAGGCCCCAACGGTGCCGATCGCAAACCATACCCTGGCTGAACCATACCCTTTGTCGTCTCCGATCACGGTCGGGAATTTTGCTTAGCGTGTCGCGGCGGGGGCCCCAGCGACACGCCATGCCTGCAAGCGGGTAGCGTGTCGCTCCGCTCCGCGGGGCGGGAGGCTCGGGACGTTGACGCTCGGGGGCGGGGGTGGACGTCGTGTCGCGACGGAGCGTGGTGGGCCAGAACTGGCGGAGCGACGCTATCCTAAAGTTCCCGACCGTAGAAACGGCAGAATCCCACCAGCCCTCTTGGCGAGAGTGGTTTAGAGCGCTTCCTCGTCCTAACCACTTTCTGTCCCTTCGGGGGAAAGTTATCACTGTTCCCTATAGATAAACACCCCCTCCCCCGAGTGACCGGCAGCCAACCAGGACCAGTGGGCCCCCCCCCACCATCCCTGTCAAAAAAACATTTGGAAAATCACGTTGGGGCAAAATCTTGTGCCATGATCGCGGGGGGCGCGAGCACTTCGTATTGTTATTTGATAGGGACGGTGGGGGTGCCCGCATATTGCCTGCTGTGTCCAGGCCCACCAGACGCTATGATAGCCATCCCGCCGCGATTGCGCACTGGTTTTCGACAAGGGTGGTGGGGGCCGACACGTTTCCCGATGTGTACTGCCACATGCGCAGGCGCACCTGCACACTCTGCGCGTGCCCCGAACGTGGCGCACCTGGTGCGGCTGGAGCATGCGGCACCCATGGCGCACGTAGATCACGTGGCGCATCTGGTGCACCAGGCGTGCCCGGCACGCTTGGGCCACAGGGGTGCCTGACACACCTGGCGCGCGTGGCGCGCCTGGCACGCCTGGCGCATTTCGCCCCAGCGTTGCGCACGTGGGGTCTGCCCTTGGTTCTCATCAGCTGTCCAACCGAAGACCACCGCTGAACACGCTGTGGCCCGGGTACTACCTATGTGTTGGGAGGGCAGGTGGGAGTGAACCAGACGGCTTGCGGGCGGGGAGGGTGTCTTGATCACTGTTCCCTAGTACTAAACACCACCTCCCCCAGGCGACAGATGAGACCCTCCCCCCCACCATCCCTGTCAATAAACAATGTGCAGCCCATCGGGGGCCACATGCGAATCCTACCCCTACCGCCCACGATTTCCGAGGGGGAGGGTGGGGTTCACTTCGTTCGGGAGCTCCCGAACGAAGTGAACCCCACTCTGGGGCAAAGTCTTGGGTCATGATCGAGGGGGCGCGAGCACTTTGTATTGTTTTTTGATCGAGGCTGCGGCCGCGGGCAAAAGAGCCGCAAGGTGGCCGAATCCAAGCGCGTAAGCAGCCGCGAAAGCATCGCGCTCAGCAATCGGGGGGACAACGATGAGCCCGCACCAAAAGCCACTCCGGCAAAAGGTCGCTCTTACGCGCAGTCGATAGTTGTCCTCGCAAGGCCGGAGGACTCCCGAACCTCCAGGACTTTGGAAGGCCCTCAGCACAGACCTGCCCTCAGCCCAACTCATTTTGACCCAGGTCTGGATCACATCAGGCATGCAGCTTTTTTACAGACCCGTTAGCAAGCTCACCACCTCCAAGGGTATACTGTGACAGGCGCATCTTGGATTGGCAAAGTTTTCGTCGCACAGAGGGTAATTGATTCATCTCGCTAGAAAGCCCAAAAACACACAACAACACAACAACAACAACAACAACAACAACAACAACAACAACAACAACAACAACGACGACGACGACGACGACGACGACGACGACAACAACAACAACAACCATAACAACAACAGCAGCAGCAGCAGTAACAACAACAATAACAACTACAAAAACAACAGCCACAACATCAACAACCACAACAAACCAAAACAACAGCAGAAACAACAACAACAACAACAACAACAACAACAGCAACAACAGCAATCAGTGTCAGACGGTTCGTTCCTATTTGCTCGCGTGCCATTCAACATGTATATCCCAAACCCTCGATACCCGCCCTCTTCGTCTTCGATCATCCCCCCTCTGGGGGGTATCTTTCTCACCTGCAACGTGTATTTCGTGCAGCCCCCAAGGCAGGGGAAGAGAGAACAGAGCAGGAGGAGGGCTAGGAGCAGAAGACTAGGAGGTGGGCCCTAACGGGCGGGTCGGGAAGGCGGGCCCAGGCGGCCAGGTCGAGCAGGCGGGTTGCTGAAGCCTGCGTCCTGCATGAATCGCGAGGATGTCTCCAGCGATGGCGCGATTCCCAGGTAGATCGTGAGAAAGGCCAGAGCGAGAGCGCGATTCCTGAGAATCGAGGGCGCGGCGTCCGAACAAACTGCCAGGAAGTGCCACGCGGGAGCGCGATCCCTGTATAAATTGTGAGGACATCCTGCGCGAAAGCGCGATTCGGGAGTACATTGTCAAGAAGTACCAGGCGGGAGCCGTTGTTGTTGTAACTCTGGGGCCAGAGGCCCCCCTCGCTCTCCATTGCAAAAACAGGGTGCGAGCCCCGAGAGAAGTACGTAAATTGAAAAACACGGTGTACCCCAGAGGGGGGCATCAACAATGATTTTTCAATATTGGTGAAACTTCAGTAGACAGAGTTGCACAACAACAACAACAACAGCAGCAACAACAACAACAACAGCAGCAACAGCAACAGCAACAGCAACAGCAACTCAGCAACTGCAACTGCAACTACAACAGCAACAACAACAACAACAGCAACAGCAACAGCAACAGCAACAACAACAACAACGACACCAACAACAACAACAACAGCAGCAGCAACAGCAGCAGCAACAGCAACAGCAACAGCAACAAGAACAACACCAATAACAACAACAACAACAACAACAACAACAACAACAACAACAACAACAACAACAACAACAACAACAATTACTAGCACGTGGGGACACTCCGTTCTCACCAGTGCCAGGGTTTTCATAGGAGGCGGGCAATACCCCCACTTTGTGGGGGGGCCGGTTCAAGCTCTACCAAATTTCCAAACGACTCTTCGCCACCACCCACACCCAGCTTCCCGCCCTATGACGTTCGGACACTTCACTTCGTGGCATGCGGACGACCGTGGCTACTATTCAGGGCCCCGCGGCCGACGACGACGGCGTGCGCGCGCGAAGAAAAAACGAATGTGTCCCGCATGGTATTATTTGACAGGGATGATGGCCCTGGCAGGTGCGCAACCGTTGTTGCAGAAGTTCGAAAAAGTTGCTCGCAAAAGCCCGTTTGACAGAAATGTTTAAAAAGTGTTGGGTTTCCTACGAATCCGCAAGAGCGCGCGGGATGAAAGTTTGACAATTTTTTGTTGAAAAACCATTGGTTTTTTGATGTTTTTATGTTAAAATCGCTACGAAAACTAAGGTTTTGGAAGGATTTCGTCTTGCGCGCGCGAATGTCCACTTTACCTTATTTTTTGCAAGGGATTCTTGAAGTTTGGTTATGTTAGAACAAGAAATGTCCACTTTAGCTTATTTTTTGCAAGGGAAAACCGATCGTAACAACACAACCGGATCCGGACCAACCCGTTTTGCCTGAGACTTCCTCACGAAAATGATGAAAACGTGGCTGCGGCCTAGGCGCGGGGGGGGGGTCGTGCACCAGGGGCCCCAACAATAATTACTCTTTACCAGTAATAATGTTCAACAACAACAACAACAACAACAACAACAACAACAACAACAACAACAACAACAGGAACAGGAACAGGAACAGCAGCAGCAACAACAACAGCAACAACAACAACAGTTTTAAGACTGTTCGCCCTTGTATGCTCGAGTGCCCAATAACGCGTATTTCCCAAACCCTCGATACCCGCCCTGTTCGTCTTCGATCGAACCCCTTTGGGGGGTTATACCTTTCTTCCCTGCAGGCCGGGCCCCGGCAAGGGGCGGGGCGGCCGCGGACCGTCGGCCTGGCCAGCGGCAGCGCTGATCGGCGGGGCGGCCGCGGACCGTCGACCCGACCCCAAGAGGGACGGACAGGGG